TGCTGTGTGGTGGGTAAAGCCGAGGCAGGGCCTGGGTCTCGCGGCGAGGGGCAGCCCAACCAGGGAGGCTGAATTCCAGAGCAGCTCTGCTGTGAAAATATTTCCTGTGAGAACGCGCAAGCCCGAGAAACCAGGAGTAGCAGCAGCTCTCTAGCAGGGATGGATTTCATTTGTTTAGCACATCCATTTCAAGAGCGAGCCTCTAAATGGACATCTTGTCATTCAAGATTGGTGATGAGACAGTGCACCTCAGCTGCAGCAAATGCGCAAAGAATATTCTTCTACTCCGAGCTTTTCCCCTGTCTGTCAGAACATACGCCCACCTGGATTCCTCCTGCATTTTCTTATTTTCTTTTTTTGATCCCATAAGTTTTAATCTATATATAAAGTAAAACTGATAGAAAAATTTCATTGCAAAGGTTTCAGAATTTATTTGCTGCACGCCATCAAAATCTCCTATCGTCTCGTCATTGAAAGTTCAGATTCAAATTCAGATCCTTGTCCCTAAGTTTCTATTTTTAACAGAGAGACCACAATTCATTGTTTCCAGAGCAGGGCTTTGGAAAATACTCTGAGAAAGGAAAATCCCCAGCGATTTCATTTGCTAATGAGGCTTAAAACTAATATCTGGACAAACAGCTTGCACAAAAAAAGGCCTCCAAGCCAAAAAGGGCTTAAAGCCAGGCAGGGGAAGAGAATAGTTCAAGATTAACTTAGTGTCTTCTCTGATCCCCAGTATTTAGGTTTTATAAAAAGAAAAATGGAGGGATGGATTCTGGACCTAAAGCCAGTCACGAGCCTGCACATACATACTTTGTACCTGATGAGTCAGCAGGCTTGGCTGACGCTTGTGTTAGAGATGGGGAAGAACTTCTCTGTGGGTCTCTGTGCTCCCACCGCTTGCTTTGCCCATTGCTGTGCTGTATTTTCCATCCTTGAGAGTCTAGGACTTCACTGTGCTCAAAGAGTGTTTGAATACAAGAGGGCAGACTGCTCGATGGCTGGTAGGGTCATCTCTAATGGCAGACACTGCTCCTAACAGCACATGCATAGAATACTTCATCCTCATCGAAGTCAGTTCTGAGAGTTGTGGAGAATTTTTTATATTTCATTTTATTTGTCTTTATAATGGAGCAGGTTGCACCAAAGACCAAGTGGTTACAAGTGAGAGCATTTCTTGGACTCATTTGCAATGCTGAAGCCCACACCTCCTGGTTCTGCAGCCAGTGCTTAACCCACGAGGCCACAGCGCCTGCCCCTCTGCCAAGAGACTGGACCTCTCTCTGCTCCGCTTACCACATCTAAAACTTGTGGCTAACAGGAGTGGTCTGCTCTCTCCCAGTGCTTTTTCACCTGTAGACTTCAAAGCGTTTCTTAAAGTAGATATACATTACTTACCCATTTCTACTGTTGACCTAAGTATAGAAATTTGAAGCAATGCTTACACCAGGTGTACCGTGGCCAGATTTCACCAGATGGGGTTTATGTTTCCAGCTTGTTGTGGCATATCACTTAAACTCTGAGCTCACAGTGTATGATATGGGGAAAAAAAGGGGTAAAACTTCTGGTTGCTTCCTCATGGTTATGGTGTGCAGTTGCTGAAGTGCTTGAGATCCGCAGGCACTGACACCTTGCTGCAGTGAGAGAGGAATAGTAAGGGCCAGTTCTGTACCCAGCAGTGGTAAGTTCCCTCCCTGTGGCAGAAAGATGTTTCAGAGCCTGAGTTTGCCCCATTTCCTTCTGGAATCCCTTCGACCCCACTCGGCGTCCGCAGGAGAGGAGGGACTGGCCCCTACATTGTGGGCATCAGGCAAGCGCCTGGATCTGAACCGGAGAGGGAGGAGGCTGAGAGGTAACGAGAATGAGATCTTCAGCTGGAGCTTGGAGATGCCTTATTTCAAACATGCCATCTCACTTTCTAGAAACAAATATTTTTTCTCCACCAATTATTTTCTCCCGGGTTCAGTAATAAAGCCCAGTGCTGTGCTTTCAAACAGTACCAATTTCTGGAGCACTCGGCTGTCTCTGCTTTGCTTCTTGCCTGAGCCAGAATAAGGGTCTACCTAGTATTCAGAGCAAGTGCAATGACAGACAGTTTCATTACACAGATACAGGGCTCAAAGAAATGCCAGGCACAACAGGAGACAATCAAAAAAGGATCCCTTTAATAGCTTTTAAGAGAAAAAATGTCTTTCTTCATTTAAAATGTCAGTTCTGACTTTTCAATGAGACTTTTGCTCTATGCATTTCCAAGAACAGGAGCTTGTTTTGCATCACACTTTGAGTTATAACATGGCATGAAATCAACGTTTAAATGGAGCTTGACTTACATATTTTAACTTATTCCTTGCTCCATAATACTAACAATATGATTCTCCATGTGGAACTACAGGCTCTCTTTTTTTTGCTGTGTTATTTGTATGAGATGTGTTTGGGATGCATGAAAGGAGGCAGAAATTGTGAAAATGGCTAGGAGTACATTTTATTTTATACTTAATACTTCTGGACTTAAAGGGGAGATGGAAATTGGCCATGTAATGGATCCTAGCTATAGAAAATGATCATCTTTCGGTAATAAAGTATTGCCTGTCTCAAGGGCTCACACACACAGCTTGACCTCAGAGCAGTTGCACATAATGTTTTCTCTGTCAAGAGAATCTATTCATAATGACGTGTCACAGGTGCTCACACATAATATGTTTCCCATCAAAAGTGATCATCCATATTTTATATAGCAGCTTTGATGACAAATATTTTGTACTTCAGCTGCTTTTTCTTCCCTGTGTCAGACTTAATGAAGGAATGTTACGGATAGTTTTTAAATAATGTTAGCTTCTTAGATCACATTACTGTGTCTGCCTTTGAAAGTAGCTTCACACAAGAGCCACAAGACAGGGGAGAGAGAGACAAGGACATTTTCATTTACTTAACTTTAAAAAGAAAGCAAATTTTTCAGGCTCTTAATTTCAAAATCAATATACTCTGTATCTTTGGAATCTTCTCAGAAAAAAATATGCTATACTTACTGAGCACTCAGTATTCTGAGAGTCTGGTGAAAGCAAGTCTGATAACTGAATTGGGGTTGCAGCTTCTCCCTACACAGAATGACATTTATTCTCATAGTAGTGGTGTGTCCTGGTGGTAAAAACACTTTCCTCCAGGTTGTTCTACAAAGTGAGTGCCTCGAGGGGCACAGAGAATTGGGTTCTTATATTCTCATTGAAATTGTTTGTCTGCAGCAGGGCCAAAATTTGCTCTTCTCTTACGTGTTCAGCCCTACTGAGAGAAATAACCCTCGTTCCTCATTCTATCAATGAAAGAGGAAAAGTGAACTTGAACTCCCTTTGAGGTTTCTCAGGTTGTGGGACTGGTCATCGAAACCTCAGAGCATAGAGGAGTGCTTTTCCCATTCATGGGCCATGTCTTTTCTGCCAAAACTGTAAGTGAACAAAGTACAGAGGTATTTAAAAGACGTGTAGATGAGGCGCTTAGGGACATGGTTTAGTGGGCATGGTGGTGTTGGGTTGACGGTTGGACTCAATGATCTTAGAAGTCTCTTCCAACCTTAATGATTCTATGATTCTATGATTCTATGATTCTATTCCCGAACTTCCCTGCCACCAGGCAAACTCCCCTGAGCTAGCAGAGAGTGGTGGATTTCAACCTGTAAGCCATGGATTCATATGGGCTTCTGGTCTGCCTGCAAGGGATCCACAGAAGGAAGCTGACAAAAGCAAGTTCATTGTGTATGCAAGCTATTTAGCAGTGTCTGCAGATAAAAATAAAATCAAAACACTGAAATAGGCAATCAAAGTATGGCATGTGCATATTTATAAAATTATCAGTGGCGTGATGAGAAGGCAGAACAGGAAGCCAATATTTACAAATAGGATTTACAAATGTAAATGAGGACTGGTTTTCTCTTACATATGAAATATAGCCAGATGTCTCACATTGAGATGAAAGCTTATACTTAGAAAAATGCCTGGGTTTTTCACACAAGACGAGGCCAAAAAAGAGGGGACACAGGATCTGGAGCTATTTGATGCTTAATTATTTTTCAGATCCAACTCCTATTTAAGAATGCAACCAAGAAGGAGTTAAAAGTAGGTAACAACTTCTAAAGTACAGGAAGATGCAAAACATTATTCTCTGCCACTGAGAAGTAATACACTGATTAATGTCTGCTACTGAAAAGATAGTCTGCAATAGCATCCTCTTTTCTTCTACTCCCAAGCCCCTAAAGAAGAACTGAATAGTTTTAAGCAGCGAGTGTAATAAGTTTTCCTTTCCTTGTCTGAAGAATTAGAACAATTCAATTGAAAGGCAAATATAATCCTACCTATGCTCCATGCTGGGACTGGAGCAGGGTAAATGCCACAGTTAAGTCTGAACATCAGGTTGTAATTGTTAGAGATTAAAAACATGCCAGAGAGAACATTCCAGGGAAAGAAGGAGGGTGAGAAGGATGGCTCTCCTGTGTCTTTTTATTAAGGCAAATTAGCATCAGATCTTACAAGGGCATATTCCTGCACAGCAGAACTCAATCAAATGGCATTTAGTCAATGAAGGAAATTATACACTAGGTTGATTTTTAATCATCCAGCTAGGAAATGCAAAGATAAGTGAACATGTATTTGTCTGCTGAGCCAAGTGCATACAAGGCAGAAAAGCCACTGAAAGTAACTAAAAGAAAAATAACTGTTCTCTAGGATGCTGCTGTTCCATAAAATCTGTTTCAAATATAATTTGCTGTTAGCTATTTCTGCAAGATGTGAGCACATCAGCTGCACTTCTCATTTTTATGCAGATGAAATAATCGCTGAAATGAAATGTCAGGTCATAACAGACACAAGAAAAAATGAAGCAATCTTTAAGAGCTGTCACAGAGGTGGATGGTCCACCCTTCCAAGTACAGAGGAACCATTATTTCATGGTCTTGTCTAATACCTTCTTCTCTCACCGTTGGTTTTTTTTTTTTTTAATGTTTGTCTTCTCAGTGCATCCTAACGTGAGCCAGGGTTGCCAAGGAGGGTGTGCTACATGTTCTGACTACAACGGATGCCTGTCATGTAAGCCCAGGCTCTTTTTTGTTCTGGAGAGGATTGGCATGAAACAGATCGGAGTATGTCTTTCCTCATGTCCAAGCGGATACTATGGGACACGGTATCCCGACATTAATAAGTGTGCAAGTAAGTGCTGGGGAAAGGGGTGGCGCATGGATTTGTTTGTTCTCTCTTGAATGCTGTGTCGCCTTAGGAGTCAAGTCAACAGAGAAGCAGACAGACAGGCCGTGTCTCTATTTGTTCACTTCTTTTATAGTAGCGCAGTAAATATTAACCCGAGCAAGAAGTTAAGGTGAAAGATGACAAAACGGCCTAAAGCTCAGGGATCCCGGCTCTGCATGAATGACCTGCCTAGGACCCAGGTGATGGTCTCCTCCTCCGCACCCCCATGCGAAAGGGAAGCGCTGGTGGGCGCCAGGCACTGCCCTCCGGCAGCAAGAGTGAGCAGCAGCAGCTCTGAAGAGCGGGGGCCGAGGGATGCTGAATCTCGGGGTCTGGAGCCGTTTAACCCACTGCCCTTACCTGCCTGACCCCTGCCACAAGGAGAGAAGATGGCAGGTGGCATTCTTTGGAGATGCAGTTTGCCCTGGTCTCTTTATAGCTTGTCTCACACTCAGTGTAGTCCTCTCAATGCCTGTAGCAGCTGGCCAGGTTTCAGCTGGCCAGGTTTCAGCCTGATTTGGGGGAAGTTACCGATTCATGTTGCCTCCGGGCTGGGAGACAGAGAACCCAACTCTATTCTTTACTGCTCGGGCAACATTTTGGCTCCACTATGTATTTTGAACCATAAATGAACTGGAAAAGATCGCAATGTCCTCCCCACTCCTCTTTTTATTGCTGAATTCACTGGTTTTGATCCCACAGGTGATATAAAAACATAAGAGCGACAGCCAAGCAACTCTCCCAGTTTTTACCTGGTAATAAAAGTTATTTAATGAACGGACCCCAGAGTAAAGTCTGGCAGAGTAACTTGACACTGTAAAGTATTTGCTCTCTTTTTATCAGTGTGTGGCCTTGCATATCAGACTTGTGCCATACACAAGTTTTTATGTATTTCTTTCAAAAATATCTGAGAACTGAGAAATATACCACTAATGCCAATTTGGGTAGTCACACAGCGAATACATGAAATACTACAGGGCATCTGAGTGAACATCAGGGAGTCATTTAAAAAAAGAAAAAGATGTTGATGCAAAACAGTCTTAAGCAGATTCTAAATTCTGCCATATTTTAATTTCTCCTGGATGAATGGAGATAGATAGGGTGGAACTGGCCCAGTACCTGTGCCCTGTGGGATTAATTAGTACCTATGCTGTGTCAGTATAGGGCAGAAGCAGTATATTGTTATTCTGATGGGCTGTGCTCTGTCTTCCGTTTGCATAGGTCTGCAAGAAGACAAGCAGCGTGAGGCCATTCAGCATCAGGCCATCCTTATTAAATCCTCACTCATGCCAAGGTCACTTGTGGCTGGCCTCACTGTGTGTACAGGCCACGAAGAAGATCCAAATACAATTTGCTTCCTTTGAAGACTGTTTAACATTGCTAGAATTGTGTGGTTATGGTATATGTGAGAGAGCCCATGGCATTTCGTGGCAAAGAGCAACAACATTGTTGTTTACTGTTTGCATTTCAGAATGTAAAGCTGACTGTGATACCTGCTTCACCAGAAACTTCTGCACAAAGTGTAAAAGTGGGTTTTACTTATACAGTGGAAAGTGCCTTGAAAAGTGCCCTGATGGGCTGGAAGCCAACAATCACACGATGGAGTGCACTAGTATCGGTAAGTTCTGTCCCCCCGTGTCCTGCCTGGTTTTCTCACAGGGGATGGGGCATCTAAGGAGGGCATAAGTTGCAAGGTCAGTTACACCACCAGGGAAGTGCAACTTAAAATGGAAATGTTCTGCATCACAAGATATATCCCCCAGTACAACAAACTCAAGGTATTTCCGAAGTCTGCCATTTCACAAGAGGCACAAGCTCGGTTGTGCCCCACAAGCGCAGCCTTGACGCTAAGGGCAATTCTGCCTCAGGAAATAGGGCCTGTTTGGTCTGCCCTGAGGTAGAATGACATCCATCTCTTACTTGCTCTGTTACAGTGTTATGCAGCACCGCTAACATCAAAGGTTCAAAAATCCTGAGCCAGACCCCACATGTAGTTGAAAGATGAAAATACTAACTGCTTTGCTTTAGCTCCCTTGTACTACCTGAGCCTTCAAAGCATGCGTGTGTCAACATTTTGAAGCTTACCTTCACAAAGGTGAAGGCTAGAAACTAAAATGTTAAGGAAAAAAACCCAAAACTGTATATGTGCATAATCACCTGACTCCAGAAACTGAGGATTAAAATAAAACACCAAATAGCATGGCACTGTTACTGAAGGAATGAGATCGGTGACACTGGTCCTGTGACTCACTGGCTGCGGAGAAGAGACCTGCTTTTGTATCTCTCCAACCTCTGACTCACAAGCTCCAATTATTCACACCGGGGCAATTTTGGAGGTCACCACACCTAACTGTCTGCTCCATCCCTCTGCCACCTCTCCAGCTGAAAGCAGAATGAGTGATATATTTGCCTCTGGGCTGCTGCAATTGACATCTCCTGCCATGGGCATGCCGAAGCTGCGGCAAGGTTCAGCTTATTTTAGTATGCCGGCTGTGAATTGTGGTGGCTGAGGGCTGTGAACTGCGGTGGAAGCAGTAACCTCTTCAGCCACCAGCAACCAGGGAGCACTTAGGCGCAGTCTGGCCATGATGGAAATCTCCTCCCCCACAGTATCATGCACATAGCTCTCCCTGGCATCGCGTGTTTTGGAGGGGAAGTAATGCAGGAATAAAAATAATGTACAGTAGTTTGGCATTTTCCTTCTCAAATACATATTAGTTCAGGTGGTAGTGATGTTTTTTACAGTTTTATTTTCAAGCAAAGACTTTCATCTTTGAAAGAAATTCAAGGGATCATTTTTGTTTCTTGATGGCTGTTTCCAAGTGCTGTAGACTTAGCTGCTTTAACAATGAGTCAGTCTCAACTAGGAAAAGCCATTTAAAGCTACAGAGGAAAAACAGAACCTTTTTGTGCACGTAAAGGCCAATTATTTTAACAGGAGAGCTCCAGTGTAATATGAAAAACAAAATGACCCACATGACAATTCACTGGACGAAGGCTCAGAGATTGCCTGAGGTTAGTTACATTTTTAGGTTTTGAAAAATTTGGAAGTAAATTCTGGAGCTGGAAAAATGTTGACTTACAAATTCCTCCTTATAGAGGTGCTAGAAGTCTTTCCTTCTTCAGCAGTGGTTTATAGTCTTAAGCACACATATGAACATAAAGTAAATATAAATGTTTACTATCTTTTATCAAGAGAAGGATACTAAGGAGGCGGCACAAAAGAAGGATAGTTATTAAAAGCACATTGTTAAGCTTCCAAGGTTACTCCCCTTTTTGTCTACACTGTTTGGACAAGTGTCCAGCTGTACACCTTTTGAGTTCCCAATAGTACGGGATGCGCATTCAGATCACTGTGGTTTATAAACCGTAACCCACACTTTTCTGAAAAGCTTGCCCCCCGCCCCGACCCAAATTCTCCTCTGCTTTGCCTACTTACAGCTTGTATATGCTACAGATGATGGCTCTTTCACTATTTAAGATGAATACCAAGCAGCAGATCACCAAAGATACTTGATTCTTAATGTAATGTCTTTTGATATCAGTTAGTCCTTTATAACTCTATTGATTTCCAAATTCAATACCTTTGAGACCAGCTGCAGCAGCTTGACCCAATGACTTCACTCTCCTTTCACATAGGCATGACCAAAGTTTAACTCCACTGAAGCTACAAGGATTTATACCTCCACAAAACCAAAACAACCTCAGAACAAGCCCCAGTAACTGATTTCATTGAGACCAATTGTGGTGTTGTTGCCCCATTTCAGGAATGGAATTACGAAACAGCTAGTACAAAATAGTAACTGACATAATTATTTGACATTACTTTGTACAGTATATCCTCAGCAGTCCAATTTCTGTCAATTCACTGCTGCAAATCCTGATTAATTCCATTAATTTTTGCCACCTTTTGGCTGATGCAGAATAAAATTAATGTACCATATGCATTGTGTATACAAAAAGATATTGGCCAGGCTCAGCTTGTCCTATGTTTATTGCAGTGCACTGTGAAGCTAGTGAGTGGAGTCCATGGAGCCCTTGCACAAAGAAAGGAAAAACATGTGGTTTCAAAAGAGGAAATGAAGTAAGGGTCAGAGAGATCGTACAGCATCCGTCAGCAAGGGGCAATCCTTGCCCAGCTACAAGCGAGAGCAGAAAATGTATTGTACAAAGAAAGAGATGTCAGAAGGAAGGAAAAGGTACCACGTTATCATCGTCATAATATGAGATTGGTATTGTGCTTGTTTAATAACTCACATCTGAATTCCCAGCCCTCTATTGCAGGCTTCACCAAAGCTTCCATTGATGTGGTGTTCTTTGGGCTGGAGAGAACTGTGCCCTTGCCTGGAGTAAATAAAGTCCTAACGCTGCTCAAAAAATGTGCTTTGTGTGATCTAGAGAGGACAGGGTGGGCTGGACGGGAAGGCACATTCTCGGTTCTGCTGAAAGAGCTGCCAAGATGAGGGGTTGCATTTGGAGTTCAGAACAAAAAGATTCATTGTAACACATGTCATGGTGGGAGCCGTTTGTTGGCTATCAGGCAGACAAGGTTCATGCTTCAAGCATGGGATTCCTCCAAACCGATTCCTATTTCATGCTTCCCTACAGGTAAGACCATAACTCTTGCAATTGCAGTGCTGTGGCCTCTCTCCCCCCTTGAACTCTTTCTACTAGCTCTGGCTGAACAAGGTGGCCTGATCCTGCCATCTGCATCTGGCTAATGGAGTCCCAGCATGGGAGAAAGACCACAACACTGCGTGGCAGCCAAGGGAAACTCCACTTGGTTTCACCCAATAAGCAAGAGTGCCAGCAGAACCGCCCCTCCATGCGAGCCAGCTTGTTGGACTTACTCCTCATCACGGGACCTAGTGAAGGGCATCCCACATGTTAAGAATGGGAGATGCTTAAGAAGTCTATGAAATAATAATTTATACAAATTCCACCCAGGAGAGATTGTTGTTCCATTGCTCCCTTTTCTCCCCTTCTTACAGCAGGGAAGTTACTTGCTCTGTCCCCGGTGCAGTTACTCAGGTTGGCACAGGCATGTCGATGGAATATTTCCTTTTCCCCATGCCTCCCATTTTCCCCATCCTTCCCATTTCCCCATCCCTTTTATTTCCCCCTTTCCTCCGAACTCAAAAGCAAGGTTTCACCCCTTTTGAGGATGAGCGGAACAGGCGGAGCAGCTGCCTCCTGCGTGAACATCTGTGAGACAGCATGAGCTGCTGGTACCAAGTAGTAACCCACCGTTTCATTGTTAAATGATTGCTAGGGTTGCTGCAGATTACTTATAGAAACCTTAAAGGGGTTTGGAGCTTGTAATCCTTTTAAAGGTTGGCTTGTTCCCTAGGGCTATACCTCATGAGAAGGGAAATAACGTTAGAAGGAGGATCTTATGAACCAGATAGCTACAGGTGCCTCCCCCTCACCCAAGAACTGGCTAGATCTACTGATTTATGGGAACCTATGGGGTAGATGTCACCTCCTCCTCCTTGTGTCAGGCAGTGCCTTGAAGAGGTAGAGAGGTATATCTACCTCAGGGGACCAGCCAAGGCAAGCTATTTACAGATTCCCGTATGCTTAGAATCTATGTCCAAAATGTCCATGCTTGCTTCTGCTCCTGCACAGTGGCACAACTTGAAACACAGCTTCTCATTAGCCCACTGTAATTGGGGGAAGCATCCTTTTTTTTCTACCAAAGCTAATTTTGCCAGAGCTGAAAATATAGGACTGAACTGTCATTTTGGAACTGTGAAACTGGTTTTTTGAAGTGATAATGATGTTGTGTATTTGCTTATGGCAATTTGGCAATCTCTTCAGATTGGACAAGACATTTCTCTTTGAGAAATGCCTGCTGTTCCTGTGTAGTAAGTACTTTAGAAGAAACTACTCACGTATTTTACTTTCAATTCTTATTTTATGGGATCTGAGCCAAACCATACTTGAAAAATACTGTGCACCACAAGAATTCATTCACAGTCATGAATCTTTTTCTTTCTTTTTTTTCTGTAATGTGCATAAAGGTGGGTTTTTTCCTTCCTTTTGAGCAAGTCACAGACTATATTCTAGCCTGTTTTACACTCAGTAGACAATTCCTTCGAAACTAATGCAGGCAGGTGGAACCTATGTTCCAACTCTACCCATGCCCTTGGGATTTGTATGTCTATGCCTGAAAGCCATTTTTTTTAATGTTCTGAAATCCACCACTATATACTCCTCAGTATCCACAAAAGTCTCTCCCATTCACTTTCATACAGCTTCACAGGGTGAAATTTAATTTCAAGAATTCATTCACAGTCATGAATCTTTTTCTTTCTTTTTTTTCTGTAATGTGCATAAAGGTGGGTTTTTTCCTTCCTTTTGAGCAAGTCACAGACTATATTCTAGCCTGTTTTACGCTCAGTAGACAATTCCTTCGAAACTAATGCAGGCAGGTGGAACCTATGTTCCAACTCTACCCATGCCCTTGGGATTTGTATGTCTATGCCTGAAAGCCATTTTTTTTAATGTTCTGAAATCCACCACTATATACTCCTCAGTATCCACAAAAGTCTCTCCCATTCACTTTCATACAGCTTCACAGGGTGATGAATTTAATTTTTTTTAAAAAAAGATAATTCTTAATAAAACTAAGGAAATCACACATAAAACATTAGGTTAAAATGGCTTCAAGGGATGGATTATGGTGACAAGCCAGGAAACTGAGAATTAAGCTAAAAGTTTTCCTTCTGTTCCTACTGGAATAGGGAAATGAAGCTTTCCAACTTAATCTCCAGGCAACTTATCTTCCCAACTGCCACTGTCCCTTATTACACAAAGAGAAACTTCTATTCCCCTTTGAACAACAGAATAATTGCACGAGAAACCAAGCCAGGCTCTGTTCTTATGGCTAGCTGCATCCAGTCAGTGATTGCAGAAGGAGGTAACAACAAAAACACTTTGGGAAAGGGATGGGAAAGTAGATATGTTTGTATTTACTGTTAAGAAATATTGAAAATGCTCTTTTGTATTGTATGACTCCCCATTGCCGCTCTCCATTGCTTTGGAGTTTAGCTTTCATGGCATTGGCTTTTGAAGTCTAGCAGCAGACCCAGCAGTTACCAACAGTGCTGCTAATCTTGTCTCCGCGGCCATGAAGAGAGAGTTAGCTCGGTCAGCCTCTGCTGTTTCCATGTTGAATAGATGTCTGTGGCCAAAGGAGTTAGGGGAAAGACCACATGATGACGGGGTTTGCTCGTCACAGATGCCTCAATGACTTTGCTCAAGAAGTTGAGGTCAGAGACAGGATGTTAGTCAGTTAAGTCACTGCTATCACACAAAAGCAAGGACATGTTTCTGGAACGGCTACGCAAAACAAGATAAAATGGATGAAGAGGGTTTTTTTCTGTTTCCATCTGCTGGTGTGTCATTAAAGCTGGTGAGATCTAGTACAACTTTTTTTTCCCTCACTGGCTATAAAATTAAGTTTTACTGGGAGAAGGTGCTAGTATTTTCAGAATGAATGCAAACAAATGGGAATAATGAGGATACAAATAGCTCGACTAGCCTAAAAGGTTCTTTTTATGCATTTTAGCACTAAATTAGTTGATCCCAGTGTGTTCTGACACGGTAATTCCCATGTGTTTCACATACAGTCTCCTTTTATAGGTCAGTCCCATCCAAACCTCACTGTAATTTATTTCATAATTCTCCTCTTTTAATTTCATGATGGTGAGTTCTTTTTAGCCTGCATGACTATATGATTTTAAGTTCCAGTTTCTTCTTCTTCCTTTCTTTCCTTCACACTTTTTGTTTTGTTCCCCCAGTGCAGTGCACTGTTACTTTTACCTTCCCACCCTTAACGTCTTCTTGGCTCCTACTGATAGACATACGTTGAGAGTCACATGTTTCCTGTAGCCATGTCCATTAATGGCAAATGGATGTACTGGAAAAGCATAACTTGCAGAGCTCTTCAAATGCTGCAAATTATCCATCAATATTATTTCTTTGCCTTAATAAATGTGCTCTGGCCAAACACAAGTCCCTTTGGACTGCTGCCTGCAGCTGTGTGAGATGATTGACTTTTACTGGCCAAAAGACAAATATCAGAATTGCATACAAAAGTATTTGTGGGGAAGGAATTGCATGTTTTCATGCATGAGTAATTCTGCCAAGAAGAGAACATTCACCATATGACTTTCTGTTGAGTCCCAACTAAACCCCCCAGAGAGCAAACAGTTTTAAGTGCTTTCAGAGAACATGTTCTGATCAGTTTGAAGAGACTAAAAACACTCACCAAAAAGACTAAGTGCGTAGTTATGAACAACAAAGACATCTTAGAAAGCTGGGTATTATGCAAGCCAATAGATAGGCTACATTGGTTACACAGCTGTATTGTTGTAAACAAATACATAATACATTTCAGTTGTTGCTTGTTCATATATTGATTCATTTGCATGCTAGTGGCATTTAGATGTTCAAAGGAGAGAACTAATGTTAACTGCGTCCAGTTCTGTGCAAACACAGACCAGAGAAAGTTCCTGTTCCTGACAGGCAAAAATTCAAGCATTAGACATGAAGACATGGTGGGATGAATGTAGAACAGCATGTCTCTTTTTCACTGTGGAGTGTAGGAATTGTCACCTTGTAGAGTCTGAAAGCAGGATACTGTTATGAAAGGCAGAGGGGCAATTTTAGTCAAAATTCACAAGACTGCAACTCCCTGGAGGCCAGTTAGCTTGTCAGTTAATGGTTTGTGATGTAAGGAGAATACAGATATTATGCTGTGATTTTTTTTTTAGTGTACAGCAAGAATAAGAGACAAAGCAGTGTCTTTGAGATGAGGAGCTGAATTCTAGATACAGACTAGCGAACAGAAGGGAACCAAGGGAACAGGGTTTGTTGTTGAGCAGTTTTAATGAGGAAGTGTATATATTTGGGGGAAATAAAGTAAAATAAATGCTTCTATCTTGCACTGCGTACATGTGAATATAAAAATCCAGGTTTGATGTGAATAGCTTAGAGAACTGAGACTCAGGTCATCTCTGGTGTTTCTTTGAACTAGTTCCTCCACCCCTTATTGCTATATGTCCACATAATGCTTCAAACATATTAATCAGATCATGTCTGAAAATGTCTTCAGTTTGCTATGGTGTGAGGAAGGAATCCTATCAGGCAACCATCAGATTTCCAAAACCACCACTCAGCTGAAAATCCCAAG